CTTTCCTAGCGTGCCTTCGTGGTGTAGTGGTTCTGCATGCTGGGCCGGCATTACAAAGGTCCGTGGTTCTATTCCATGCGAAGGCGGTTGCTAATTTTTCATCTCTCCGACTTCCAAAAATTCTAATGTCTCTACAGTGGCACCCGAACTAAAAGGGTGTTGGATGAGGCTTCTCTACACCCAGCATTTGGTGATTGGGTCCCCTAAAAACCCCAGTCGCTCTTTAAAAAGGGGAATATATAAGGTATATCTCCCGCTTTCCTAGCGTGCCTTCGTGGTGTAGTGGTTCTGCACGTTAGGCGGATATTCCAGAGGTCAGTGGTTCGATTCCCGCCGAAGGCGTTGCTAATTTTTCAATCTCTCTTGCTTCCAAAAATATATCTAATGTCTCTACACACTTAAAAAAATCGCTCATTTCATTCATTACGAGTTGTGCCAAATTATATGCTCTACCAAAATTTAAAAAAATTCAGTACCATTCCTCCCTATTGTATCAAACTTAGACTCTGCCTCGTACCCGTTAGCTAAATATTCAGTTTATAGATTTTTGACTTTCTTAATCAATAACACTTCCACTATAAAAAATTCAATAGAGTTTATGAAAAAGTAGAAAGGAAGTTTCTTCCTGGCTTCTTTTCATGTAAACTCATTATTTACCAATGTTCCAGTGGAAGATGCACTTAAATGTCTAGAAACAAAACTTCGAGTGTCTCATTTCTCCTGTATCAAAACTGATGAGTTAATTTTCCTAACTCAACTCAGTCTGAAAAAACACATTTTGTTTTCCAAAGCAAGTATTACAATTAAACTGAGGGATTAGCCATGGGGAGCCGTCTCAGTCCTATTCTTGCTGATAGATATATGCAAAACTTGCCTGTGCGATTCCGTTACGTTGGTGATACCGTTCCCCTGTTTGACGGTAATAAAGATTATTTAAACAAAATTCTTTCAGTAAGGAATTTCACTGATTCTCCTATTTAATTGACTTTTGAATTTGAGAGATCCAATTCTCTTCCGTTCCTCGACACAATGGTCACACGCAACATATCCAACTTCACTACTACTGTTTACCGTAAACCTTCATTTGTTTGCCTTCCACCACATTTGAAATCATGTCATTCGACATAAACAAACTTTAGCTTCATTTTATTCCTTCGTTTTCCCTGCACTTCAGGTTTGCTCTTCCGGATCAGTTCTTGATCAAGAACTAAATTACCTAAAAAACAGTTGCTATTGGCAATGATTTTTCACCTAATATTATTGACCAGTCGTAAAAATTTCTCTTCTCAAAGCATTAAAAAGCTGCCTCATGTTTCAGGAGATTATGAGAACTCTGTTTTATTTTTTTTTCTTTCGATTAGCTGTAAAATTGCCCGTATTTTATAGATATTCAACTTTCGTATCGTTTTCTCGTGTCGTTTCTGTCAATAAAATTCGCAATTCCACCCTTAAGGACACCCATTCCGGACATAAGCTCTTGAGGTATGTACAAGTTTCCTTGTTAATGTGATTTAATTTAAGTTGCTCAAACTTAGACAGCCTTAAAGTTTCCCTGTAAGCAATATGAGGAATGTATTAGGAAAAAAGAAATACACAAAACCTTTGTTGCTCAATACTGTTGGTCAGAAAATCACATTTTCATTTTTTTGTAGCTCAAACTATCCAAGAAACATCTTCCGTCAGCGAATTAGATTTTCTTGAGAAGCTTCACATTTATGAAATATTTCAGTTCTACTTTACGATCTCAAATCCAAACCTGTCAGATTTTAAGAAAATTATTTTTAGCTGTTTTCATCTTTCATCAACAGATGACTTCAGTAATTCTGACTTCCTTCCTCTCGTCTTAACGGGTTATCTTATCTTAGTGGGCCATACTAGTAACTCCAAATCACTGCCATCTGTGACTTCGGCAGTATTGAGTTAGAACACATTGAAGGGCGGAGTGGATATCTATTGTGCTTTCAGATGACTGCTGTTTATATCTTCGTGCCATCGAGGGTCGTTTATTGGTTAGAAGGGGACCAGGTTAACACTTGGAAAATTAGAAACACATTGGTCCTGCACCAGGAATTATGGTCTGGGAAGCAATTTCCTATGGCAGCAGAAGCACTTTTATCGTTATCCCACACACCTTGACAGCACAATTGTACGTCAGACTGGTGACTGCACTGGTTGAGATGCTATTCTTGAGTACTATCCCAGAAGCATTTTCCAACAGTATTACGCTCATCCCTATATCACTACTATCGCCCAACGAAAATATTGTTATGAATTGTGTACATAGATAGACAATTTTAGTGAAACTATATGTGAATATTTTTGTATAATGTAACGCGAAAAATCTTAAGAGAGAAGGTATGCCGGAAAAGTAAGATTACAGGGGCAAGTCCATTTAACGTTGAGTAAATGGGTATCTCGGTAATTTGCCAAGAAATCGCCGAAAGTCGCCAAACTTGTAGACCATTTGACGACATTTTGATCCGGTCCCTGTATCACCATAATAGATATATTGTAATTGAATAAATGTATATTAGGTTTGGATGTAATTCGACCATATTGCTTTCCAGTAATTTCGAGAAGCATAAAGTAGTAGGTATATCTCTGCCACCGATTGTAAACTGTGTAAGGCCGGAGAGAGCATCTACTTTCAGTTATTGTTGTTGTAAGTTGTTAGTTCAGCGTGAGCTGAGATATCTTTGAGTTAGCTTTCTCTTTTGATGCGTTTTGAGGTGTTATTGTGTTTAACATTCTTAGTAGTTTGAAGTGCAACTATTGTACGCTGTGATACTGTAAACACCTGTACCAGTATTTTTGTGGAAAATTCCAAAACTTTGAAGTGTTTCATTTGATAAAAATAGATTTTATTAACCTATTATGGGATCTGTGCGCATTTAATCTATTACAAACCCATACTCACGCAACAATATGTTTCTAAACAAATACTTTGCCTACATTTCATTCCTTTAAACTGGTTTGTTGTTGGTGGTAGCGCGCCAGTGTTTGAACAGTAAAGTAGCTGAACACTGATAGCTGTGTATGAGATTCGAATTCCGGCGAACGAACTGGCTGCATACACGTTTTCGTTGTTTTCCCTATGTGTAACGCATATACGAATGAGTTTGCCTTAGAATGTCCTCTACGAAGGCATCCCTCCTCTTAGCCAGATAGCTCTCGAGTGCTTTGCCATAATCAAGTAGACAAAAACCTTGGTAACGGGATTTCATTATCAGTGTAATTTTAGTCTCATGCATTTAAACTTTTTTATGCTTTTTGCGTAACTAAATATATTCGATCACTTTTTTTGACGACTTGCAGTGATTTCTTTACGTTATAGAATTGCTTATTTGAAATTTTGAGAATTTTTTTATTCTTTTATCATTATTTTCTACTGATTTTCTACATAATTTTATTGTTTTTTAGTCCAAAGGGACTTTGTTCCTGAAGGACTATTGTTCGTTTTGCGATTTTGCGCTGAATCACTATAAATGTTCGTTTCACTTTTCAAACTGTCGCCACCAAATGTTAGAGTCCTGCATTATGTTTGAAGAAATTAAATAACGAAAAATCTGCATAAATACATGTATATTTCTCGCATTGTGGTAAAACAACGGTACATAGCTATCGAATTTAGAATGACGTAATCCTCCTAAGAATATGGGCATATGGAAGATCAAATTTGAAATTTGAAATTTGTTTTATGATCGATTTCATATTTTGTAAAACTTTAACGAATTTTTCAGTAACAAACTTAACGATTTAAAAGTGAGCAATGGCAACACTACAGGAGGGGGGACCTTTTTATCTCCAGCACGCGGAACTGTGTATCGGAAATTCTAAAGATATGCTCAATTTTAAAATTATTTTGGGACATTGCTATTGAACGGAATTTTATGGTTTAAGTACAAAGAACGTGATATTTAATAAATATAGGTAACACACAAAAACGTTAAAAAAACGCCCCTTTCGACGTAATTTAAAATCTGAAACCTTTCAGATTAAAAAAAATTTTTTTATTAATTTATTTATTCTTATTATTTCTTTAATTTGCTTTCAAGAAGAAAGTGTCTTTTTCCCCATTCTTGCTTATTAAGGCAGTAACTTAAGTAATCTTGAAAAATATACATAGCAACTTTATTTTTTAATTGAATTAATTCTGAATTTTTCAAATTACAATTTGTCAGACAAGGGGAAAAAAAAAGTCTTATCGCATTTTTAGAGTCTTTTTTGCATAATTTGTTATTCTACTTATTCCAACTGTTTCAACATTTTTTCCCTCATTTCTAGCATTTCGCACATAGAAAGGAAACTTTTTTTTAATAAAAAGAACATGAAGTTTTCGCAGTTCGTTAAAAATGTATTATTCTGTTATTATTATTTGCTTACTTTTGATAATTCTTTTCATTTCATTTATTTTTTTTTCTTTTTTCTCCCTTAAAAACAAAAACAAATTAATTGTAATTTAAAAGTGAATTGTTAATTAATGCGCAGCTATTGGGGGCAAATATTTAAAAGAGTTCTGAACCTTAAAAATTAAATAGATTACAATTTTTAATGGAATGAGGATAACTTATTTTTAACGGAAATAAAAATGATCTTTTGCGCGTCAACTTAAGCGTGAGAAATGAATGCAGATGATTTTCCGTCCATGTCTGAAACAAAAGCAAGAAACCAAAAATTTGATATTCTTCCGTTCAACTTATTAGCAAAGTTATTAATTTTTCTAACAGAAATTAAAAAATGTCTAGACATTTATTTATAAAAAAAATTAACATATTTATGACTCACAAAAATAACTACTCTCATATTTTTTTTTTTTTTTTTTTTTTTTTTTTGTTTGGGTTTTTTTTTTTTTTTTTTTTTTTTTTTTTTTTTTTTTTTTTTAAATCGCAGTTACGATTTAAAACGAGTAAGTTTCTGTTTCTAGGTTTCGTTGCCACTTCCGGCGCGTATCCGGAAGTAGATGTCATCTTAACGTGCGTCTTCTCAGAAAACGCGGTCAATAAAGGGGTTAACGATATCGATCTGCAAAAGGCGCTGCGTCTATCCCTGTCTGTGACATCATGCGCCATGGCCCATGTGATCATATTTACAATCATGGCAGACATGAGGTGAACACAATGGTTATTAGGTAAACATGCTACATTTTAAACCTGTTTTCATTAGAATGTTGTGCTTGCATGTTTTTATTCCTATTGACAAGTGGATTTTAGTACACGAACGATGGAAATGCCCCAAGAAGGGTTATCTGTGCTTGTAGGAAAAAATTTCTTTTCTAGCCAAAATCAACATGAAATGAAGGCATGCCTTAAGTCATTTTCGTATTTGTACCAGATATATATGGCCACTTTTTTTAAAATTTCAGTGATAATGAAAACATATCGAAAGTATTGGTTATTTAAAATTATACTTGTGGCTTATGTATTAATGGAGTGAAATAATTAGAAGAAAACAAAATGCTTGCTTTGGTGGATACATTAGTTGACTGTTCAGTGAAACTTTTCGAATCGTGGTATTTTAAGGTTATGATAGAATACGAATAATTATAAATAATGATTATTTTTCATGTATTTATTTATCATTGCCAATTATATTTCAGTTCTTAAACTTTCCTTTATATAGTCAAGGCATTTAATTTTATAAATAGGAACATTATTGTATTTTGTGTGAATGAATGTCCAAAAATTTTAATCACGTTTTGTTGTTTGGAAAATTTATCTTTTAAACCGGTAGCCACTGTAGATAACTGTAGATGTATGATATGATCCTGTATCTTTTTCCTCTCTTTTTGATTAATGCATATACATTTACATATTTATTTGATTAATGCATGTACATTTGCGTATTTATTTCATTAATGTATGCACATTTCTGAAAGTATACAATTGATTGATCACAGTGTGACCTTTTATTTTGCTTTTTCAGAATATTTGACATGGATAATTTTTTAATGCTTAACTAGTTTGTACTTTTAAAAAATATTTTTGTGTAATAAAATATGTATTGTATCCATTTATGGAAATTATTTTTTTATATTTATGTTTAAAAATGTAATGTATAATTTTTATTTGTTTATGAGGATAACTATGATTTGAAGGGCAGATGTAAAATTTATGTGTTTAGTTCTGGATTAAATATTTACCTCTCTATTAAAAAAAAATCATTATAGATGAGGTTAATCTATTCTTTTTAAAAGTTGTATCAGATATCTTTATTATACATTTTACTTATTTCATAGTAATAAGGGAATTCTTCTTCTTATATTTTTTATGAAAATAACTGATTTTTAATTACTTTGCTGTATGTGCAGTTATCTATAAGTGGAGCAATAACTAAAGGTGTTAATTAAATAATTAAAGTTCGCAGTGTTTAGCTATTAGGATTAAAGATGAAATTTTCAAAATAAGTGTGAAAAATGGATATAGGCATTTGATTAGTAAATCGTATGTGTGTTATAGCAGAAACAAAATAACCTAATAGACAATTAAAAAAAAATTCTCATGTATATTAACCCTGCCATTTTTTTTAATATTTATCATTTTATATCCTTTGTATAGATTAATTTTTATTTGTTTGCTATAAATATTTGAAATTTTCTGTCTAATCTTACAATTAATAAACATATACAAGAAGAAGCAGATATGTGATCTGAAGGTATCAAAAAAAAAAAAAAAAAAAAAAAAAAAAAGATTATTTGTTTACTTAACATGAAAATTTTTCATATTTGGTGTTCTTATTTACATGCTTTTATTGTGTATATCCGCGTGAATTTGTGGTATTTTATATTAAGTTTACATTGTATATATATTTAACAAACATTCTCTATTCGTAAAAAGCAAATTTAAAGTTAATTTAAATGAAATTTAATGCAAACGAATGATTAATTGTTGTTAGTAAAAGTTTTTCATGTATCATCTTCAACGAACAAAAATTTAATTAAAGCAATAAATTATTGGAATAAATTTTAGTCAATATTTTAAGTATAAGATATTTAGATTTCTGTTGTAATAAAAATTGTAAAGAAATAATAATTTGAACTGTAAAAATTCTGAAAAGTAAAATTTAAAGTACTGAAAAGGTAACTAAAGTATTTCTTCTTTTCAGGGTAATGCATTACTTTAATTATTTGCTGTTTGATATTAAGATCAAGCCCAAGAATGCATCTAAAAGAAAAATAGTTGGCTGGAAAAAGCCTAGGTAAGCAAAGTTTTTGACAAATTTTAATTTAATATAATAATTTTTAAATTTTGTGTAATGTTGTGTGTTGTTTGCTTGTATAACATTGTGTGTTGTTTGAATTTTCTGTGCATTTTAAATTGTTTTTTTTTTTTTTAATTTTGAATACTTGGTTAAAATTTAGAAATATTTTAAAAGAAAAAGAACTAGATTTCTTTGCTTTATAGTGTATGTAAAAATTTTAATGTTAAAAATTTGAAAAAAAGTTTTGGTCAATTTTAATTTCAGCTTTTCAATTTTAATATTGTGTTTTAAATTAATGTAATTCGATATTGTGGTGTCAGCTTAAGACTTGCTGAGATATTTTTTTTTGGGGGGGGGGAGATTGAAAAGTTATCGGTGGAGTAGAAGAAAAATGTTCATATAAGAAGCAAATTCATTCTTATTTTCATTAAAGGAACAATTTTCGGTACTTTTCCGTTTCGCTGGCACAAATCTCGCCAAGCAGACTTTATTGGCGACAACATACAGTGTACACATAAAAAATATTAAAAAAATGTTAGTTCTAAGAAATCTTTTTTGAAGGCATAAACATTTTAATATTGCTTAAAATTTTATAAAAAGCCAATAAATTTGTAAAAGACATTAATTTAAGAATTTACTATGGTTCAACATCCTGATTCGCCGGTTCATATCACGTGACCCCAAGCAATCTCATCTCACGTAAACTACTCTACAAAAATCTAATGCTCTCAGTAATTATCTACATTAATTTGGAACACAAGTTTAAATGCAAGAAATATTTCAATTCGTACGAATAGCATACTGAGAAATTATGCAAAACTGCAGTGCTTTACTTCGCTAATGCATTCTCATTAGAATCAATGAATTTAACCCTAGACTTTACCTTTTCTATATTTTCGGCTTCAGGTAAGCGCTGTGATTGCATCCTAATTGACTTAATTACCGAAAATGGCCTTAGACATAAACTGAACTATCTGATAAAATTTCTATGTAATTATATGCCAGTATTGAAAGAAACAATCAATCTGATAACAAAAAGCTGCACCTTGTTTTGAAAATGAGGCATAAAAGGTTACCAGCGAGAATATTCCGTTTGGCATCGGTTGTACCATTATTGGCGACTTTATCGCTTGCGCCGGCAAAAGGGAAAAGTACCCAATTTTCTTTTTTATAGTAATTATCTGTTACTAAAGGTGTATATTAATATACTCTTAAAATAAAAATATAGTTAAGTATTTATATGAAAGTGCATAATTATTTAAAATATTAAAATTTAAGAAATTGCATTTTGTAAATTTTATTATTACATTTATATCTACCAGATGGCATTTTAGCTTTAAATCTTGAAAAATGGGGCTTTTCCTTTCCTTTGAATGATCAGTATTAAAAGTAAGCATTGTGCTAACCTGTTAAGAAACATTGTGAAGTAAGGCAAGCAAGAAATTACTTTGTAAGGTCTTGTAGGTTGCATTTCTAAAAGTACCAAATGATTAATTAATTTAAAAAATTGGTAATTGTGCTTTGTGTCTTGAGCCCCAAAAGTTCAGCTGAATTAGGTGCCTCATTTGATAAATTTGTTCTTAGACAAACTTTGGGTTTTGTAACATTCATGTAGGATGTAGCATCTATACCTGTTTATTTCTTACAGTCAGTATTTGCCTAAAATAATAAGACATCATTTTTAATAAGAGCAATCACACACCTAACTATCCAAACTATCTTCACACCTGAAATTATACAAGTTCTGACTGTGAGGATGATTGAAGTCATGCAAATTTCAGAGATCATAAATTGTCACTGGCTTTGTAAAGATTCTGTCTTTAGCATGTGTTAGTAATTTTTTCAGAAAGGCTGTTTCTCTTGTTCATAGCTTTTCTTTAAATGATGCTTAGTAATGATAGCTATGACCATCAGTATTTGTTTTGTTTTTTTGTTTTCTCTTGTAAGTGAAGTGCCTTTTGTCAAACATAATTGCAGTCAAACAAAAAAAAAAAAAAAAAAAAAAAAAAAAAAAAACAAAAAAAAAAAAAAAACAAAAAAATAAAAAAAAAAAAAAAACAATAAATAATAAATTTGCATAAAAATATTTGGTATTTTTTCATTATCTGCATCCGTACCAAGAGGCCATAAAAGCATATTGATGAAGCAGAGCGCCATATCACGAAAAAGTGCTATTTATATGGCAATGCACAATATCATAAAAAAGTATTTATGCGACTGCCGAAATATGGCGGTAGCATTCCTGCAAATGGTTTCCCACTTTTCATCAGTGTGACTACAGGTTATTGTCTTTCCTTTGAGAATTTCATTATTCTAGCATAAAAATTTTTATTAGTTTTATTTATTAATTTCATTTTTTAGTATAAAAATATAATGTACCTAGGAACATTTTCTACTTGATCAAGGATTTTTTGCTTACTCACATATTATGAGTGCATTATTATGTCACACTTATCTATAATTGTAGCACAGTTTTACGTTTGATGCGATAATGCATAAGTACACCTAAAATGTTCTAAGAGTATTTATTGAATTGATCAATTGGACCTGGTAGAGGGTAAAGTATATGAATAGATAATTTATACTTGCTTTTTTATTTCAACATATCTCTAATGATATGTTGCTAATTATCAGTAAAGGGCTTCTGTTTTTCATGTGCATCCATTGCCTCTTTCTTCAAATTATGCTGAAAATATAAGCAACAGGAAAGGAAGTATCTTACTAAGTAGTTGAGGGTAAGCAATTACTATTTTAAAAATATTTTAGTATGATGTACAAACCAAATTTAAGTTACAGTTACATAAAATGACTAAGTGTAAAGGAGAAACTTCAGCTTTTGTGCATTTTGAAAAATAGTGCACTTTGTAAATTAATTTGCAATTTGTCAATAATCCTTTTTAACTGGTTAGTATATGATCAACAAAAGCTTTTAAGAGTTTCTGTTATATTTTATCATGTTTTATACATAATTTTCATTATTGATTAAAGTTTAAAAGTCATAACTCAGATGCTTATGAAAAGATTGAAAGGAACTGTTATAAGAAAGCACAAAAGAAGTGTTAAGAATAAGATTTATATGTAAAGTACATTTCAATCTGTACAGTTTATAATATTTGAAAATAATTAAAATTTCTTTATTTAAAGAAAATATAAACAAATTCTAAATTTGGCCCAAGCCTTTATTGTATTAAAGTCTGTAAATTAGCTTCTATGAAATGAAAAATGTTTAGCACATTAAATTCAATAATATATCTTCCCTGTTTCAAACATATTTTAATTTATTATTTTTATATAATTGCCATATTTATTTTTATTTTAAGTATTCCATTTGATCAGATTATCATGAGAATTATTAATTAAACAAAAGTTGTTTGTGTTGAATTAAAGTTAATACACATGATTCTTTCAGCTGATTTCTTTTAAAATAAATATTTTCTTTTAATTTCATGCATTTTATTACTTCTTACATTTTCTTTGCACTTAATTATATGTAACATATCCTTTAGAAAACGGTACATTATGGACAAGAAAAGGATTGTTCGAAGAGTTATGTAAAAACCTAACACAAAGATGTAAGTTTTTCACCCAACCTTAGTTTGATTCACCTTTCTTTTTTAGTTTGTTTAGTTTTTAGTATTTTTCATATTTTTATTTTATTATTTGTTCATTTTTCTTTTTAACATTTTTGTAGTTGCATACTTGAGTTAATTTTTTTACAGAGAAAAAATGATGTATAAAACTGAGGCTTATGCTATTAGTAAGATGTTCAGTGCTGTTATCAGCTGCTGAATCTTTTTGTTATGAGACACTGCTTGGTAAATTTTTACAGATTAATGTATGTATGTTTATATAAAAATTAAAAGCAAAACCTGGTAACGAGAGAAACCAAACATGACTTCATACAGCTTCTGTCAAGATTAATTTATCTATCCATGCATTTAATTCTATAAAAAATAAAAGCATGTATTAAAATCTCCGAAACTACTCTGATATGCACCCTCAGGTCACCAAACATTTTTGGTGAGAAACTCCACGCTGCCATATTACTATCTAAATTTTTTGTCTAAATTTCAAAATGTCTCCAAAAACGCGGTTTTCGCACATGCAAAAACCATGCTTTGAACACACGATTTAAGCTAAAAATCTGAAACAAAAACAAAAAATTTAGATGGCAAAAATGTAAAGTTTCTAACCAGAAATATTTGGCAGGAATCCATGTACACAGCGATATGTTTTAACTTTAAAAAACACTTACGAATTGCACAATCTAGAAAACGAATGAATTTGCAAACTATGGACACCTTGCTTTAATACATTAACAACAATAAATTTCAAAGAATACCATGTACACAGCATTCTGTTTCAACTTTAAAAACCATTCATGAATTGCACAATCTAGGCACTACGCACTAATCAACAAAATAAACTAAAATAACTAAAATAAATTTCAAACAATTCCAAAAATAACTATAACGGCAGAAACTCATATTAAAAAACAATGAACATAACATTCTAAAAATAAGAACAAAAATAAAATAAAATGCACATACCATGAATGAATACTTTTTGGAACAGCAGAAATACCAATTTCATACCGCCTTTAACATGCCGCCATGTAATCACTATCGTATTTATATGACAGCCAGACACACTATCTAGAAAATTCATACTATGGTTCACAAATAAATATTCAAAACCTTTTTTTCCTAAATCCTTGTAAGATTTCCAGCCATCCAAAAAAATAGTTCTACAAGGCTCAGTCCACTCTTTAATATACTGCATCAGCATTTCCTTATTTCTATCATGCACAGTCACTAAAAATAATCTCCCATACCCTCTTGCAACCACTTTTCTCCACGAACCAATGAGCAATTAAACGACTTTAGCAAAAAGGTTTTTCAACGTCAACAGGGTTGCCATACAACATGCAATCGTGCCAAAAACCAGCGCAGAACACATATCGCCACATTTGGTGATATTAGGGTGCATATCAGAGTAGAGCCAAATCTCCTTAGTATATATCCATCATGATAATAATAAATATATGTTGTAAACATTCATCTTTACACTTGGATCAAAGAAGCAGATCTTTGATTTTTTTTAGGGACAGCATGAATTAAGTTTTTTTGCAGGGTGGAAACATTTTGGATGCTAATGCAGTCAAATACCAAAAATCTACCGACCTGAAATCCGCATTGCCTCTCAAAATATAAACATTCAGTGTATAGGTTCCGGAAACCGCAACACTGAGTATGAAATATCAAAGAAACAATACTTACCTAATAATGAGTCATAACGGTAATACCAAATTATTGACATCATGATAAAAATTTTTTCCCCTCTAATCTGCATTGAGGTAAAAAAGCAGACAATTCACTCAATTCTTCTTTCAAGTTCACGATTCACATTGTTGTATTTTCTGAGCCTTGCTATTTCACGAGATTATTTAACGCTGCCTTTTTTTTTATCTGGATATTTTGTGGATAAATTAGGAATATTTTAAATTTCAGCCCTTTTTATAAAGTTACAGATAAGAAACATACTCATTTTACTGCTTGCAACATTGAAAAATGTAAACACGTTGCATTGACGGTAATACAAAAAGTGCAAAAGATGGAGGCAGGTGCTACTCCTCTGTTTATAACAGAATTGTATAGAATTGCAACACGATTGTGTGTAATATATGGAAAAATAAAGAAAAGCTGTTGAAATTTTACAGCAACAGTGATTCTAACACCGGAATCCGAAACCGGAACTCTTTGCATTAGGCGAAATCGGCAAACCTCGATGCTGTGTACATATAATACAGTGAATAATATAATCAATTATATATATGTAATAATAATTTAATGCATATAATTAGTTATTGCAATAATGTAATAGTAATTTAATGCATATAATTAGTTATTACAAAAATGTATATAATAATTTAATTAAATGTATCTAATAGGCCTTGTTTATTTTGCACTTTTAGTCTGCATATTATGATTTTTTTTTTCTGTTCTGAAATCCGCACAACCTCTGGTCCCAAGCTTTGCAGATTTCTGGACTTTTACTGTATATGTAACCCTACAGAGAAAAAATATTTTTCTCTTTGTCCTAATATGTTTTTATATTATGCATATGATTATTATATACAAGGTATAATTATATAGAGGAATGATTTTTCTTGAGATATCCCATTTTGTATTTCGATTGGGATTATTGTGGTACTGACTGTTAATAGAATAACACACTTCTAATAATCTGCTAAAGCATTAAAATCACTTGAATAATATATTGTAGTCCTCTTTGTGTTTTCAAAAGGGTTGCCACAAGGTAAAATGTAGATTCAGTGAGATTCTGTTATATCTTAGTGTTTCATATCATGATTGCAGCTGAATATTCCTAAATTTTCAAAAATCAGGTGATTGTGGTAATGTTGCTAAGCTATTTTTCCAACTCGTATGACAAACACTCAATTGAAATATAGGATCCTTGGGAAAAAAAAAAAAGAATTCCCTGTTAAGTAGTGGAATTAGTCCTTAATTAAACCTGCTTCACAGTATGTCATATTAAAAGGTGTCATTTTTGCAACAGAATAGGTAAGTAAAAAAGGAAGCTTACTTTCAAGTGTAAGATTTTCTGTTATAGTAGAAAGACAGGAATGGAATAACTGCAATGATCTATTTTTAAAATCTTCCTGTTTAAAAACAAAAGGGGGTCTTTTTTTTTTTTTTTTTTTTTTTTTTTTTTTTTTGTTTTTTTTTTTTTTTTTTTTTTTTTTTTTTTGTTTTTTGTTTTTTTTTTTTTTTTTTTTTTTTTTTTTTTTTTTTTTTTTTTTTTTTTTTTTTTTTTTTTTTTTTTTTTTTTTTTTTTTTTTTTTTTATTTTTTTTTTTTTTTTTTTTTTTTTTTTTTTTTTTTTTTTTTGTGTGAGAGTAGAGAATATATGCTCAAAAAATCTGATATGTACACCACACGACTTCCTAATACAGAATATTCAATTATACGCATTTTTTCTTGCATTTCATTTAAACTTATTGGATTGAATTAAATCTACTTGGCCGACAGCGCATAAACCACAATAGAATAAATGCATTCTTTAAAATTTACTCCAGTATTTTTTTACCATAGCGACACTCTGGTACTAGATTCACTTAACAGTATTATATTTCGTTCATATTATAACTGATAATGCACAAAATGTATATCATTTAAAGAATAGACTTATCTAATCGTTGCCACATGTTCTATTCAAATATTACAATAAAGCTAAAATGATGTCTAAAAGAAATTAAGCAAACAAAACAAAAAAGAAACAGTTTTTCACAGACGATTGAGTATTTCTCATTCAATTAATTCAGTTCTCACTTCGCGAGATGGCAAAAATACATAAAAACTCAAAATATCTATATTAAAAATTACGAAGAAAATCTTAAACACTTATTTCCTCGAAAAAATTCCGGAAAGCATTAAGCGTAATTTAATTGACAATAATAAATGAAGGCGTTATCTTTGTTGTTGCGAAGCTAAGTTTCTCTAGATTGGCAACAAATCCACTAGTCTGCTGTTTCAAATGTAAACAATCAATGGCCGCCATAAAAAAAAAGGCTTAGTGGCACTTAAACAACTTTAAAATTGTTGATAATTCTAAAAAATTTGCATACAGATTTTACTAAGGCATAAAAACCTTAACCGGAAGATAAAAACACAACATAATTCTATCTTTTTTAAAGCAAAAAAAAATGTACTATTTACAAACATATAAGAGTTAAAGAAACTGAGATCACTGAGCTGGGTAAACCAGAGTGGATATATATACAGTCAAAATTCATTCATTAATCCGGACCTCGTCGGGACTTCGGCGATTCCGGATTATCGATTTTTCCGGATTATAGATCATCAGTTTAAATCTCGTAAGATGGCATGCAGAAATTCTAAAATTAAAAATGTGAAACCGTATTTTATATTTTATGAAATAAAGAACAATTATGATCTAAAGGGTATCAAATTTGCAAAAAGAAAAAGCTTAAATATTTATTTGTTTACTTTATTAAACATTTCTTTCTTTCAATGTAAGTTGTTTAAGTTTTGTTTCGTTTCATGTGATAATACTTTCTATTTAATTCTATTAAACAGACATAATTTCTTGTTCAGTTACAAAGTTCCCGCCGTTCAAGTCCTATAATTTGCTGTGTCAAGAACACCGACTAATTTTGTCAATCGAAATTTTTTTTTTGTTTTCAATAACCTCTGTCACTTTTCTTCTCGCTATCGGAAGCGAATTATAATGACGAGGAACTTGTTTTAAATCATATCAAAGACGGAGCATATCGAGATGAATACTACATTTGGTAAGGAATTATAAGCCAATAAAATAAAAACATCTGCATGAAGATAAGGATAGTGCTGACAAATCAACTTCCAATTCATTAGGCGCCCGCCGCCGAGCAACGTGAATTGATAAACAGATTTCGGATTTCAAACATACTTTCGCTTTAGATCCTTTACATTAACAAATATATATCGGAAATTCCATTTGATATAATCGAAAGTTTAAGCTTACTTTTATAAAATTGCTCTTACAGTCTG